CCCGCAGCCGCCAGGGCCACAGAGGGTGCCTGTCCCTGCCGCCAGGTGCCCGCAGCCGCCAGGGCCACAGAGGGTGCCTGTCCCTGCTGCCAGGTGCCTCTAGTAAAGGAAAAGCGTTGACCGGATGGAGGAAGGCGCAGGCCGTAGAAGCCCAGCCCCTCAGGCGCCAGGCGGTGGCAGGGGGAGACCCTCACAGGAAGGAGACGGCTGGGGGCCGGCGGTGTCTAGAGCCAGACCCGAAGGCGGAAGATCCGGAGGCGGATGGAGCCCGCTGTGGGATCTGCGTCCTTCCACATTCTGTGTCCACCAAGACCAGCATCTGACCGCTAGCCCAGTGGGCCCCTCCCGACAACGAAACCAAATGGCACCCACGAAGGGGCAGCTCTTCCTGCCCGCGTGCCCATGCCAGTGTCCTTTCCTTTGCTGTCCCTTTCCTACTGAACCTGCTCTTTGAATACAGCTGGCGTGGAGAAACGTGCGTGTGCCAGAGGGGAGCTGGCGAGATCTGTCCCCGGGGCGCCCGAGGACCCCAACCTCCCCTCCCCCCCGGACTCCAGCAACGGCATCCACAGCAGCCCGCGGGGGGCAGCGAAGAGTCACAGCCCCGGGAGGCTGCCAGCTCCGGCGCAGCCTCAGCTCAGCGATCACAGCCGCCAGCGCGTTTCAGGATTTTCCTGATGCTGCCCGCGCTCCTGCCCCAGACGCGGCTCCCGCCAGGCTGGGCAACGCCTCCGGTAGCCGAGCGGGTGGTAACGGGGCAGGAGTCAATTTTCTACCTGGAGAAAAACACCCAGCTGCATTTCAGAAGCAGGAAAGGTCACGTCACACTGACAGGAAATCTTTGTGGCTATTAAGAGTAACATGGACAAAGAGAGTTAAATACAGTGTGAACCACAGATAACATTTACGCGCTTGACATCAACACAGTCTGAGGTATAAGCCGTGTGAGAGGAAAATGTGTGTGCCCCGAATCCAAATTCCCAACTAACAAGAACATCTGCGGTGTGATTTACAGGTGCTGAGGCGAGAAGTCGCGCAGCTGCGGCGAGAGCACCGTCATCGTGCCGCCTCGGTGCCCCCAGGGGAGCCACAGGTGAGGCCGGGCCACAGGGCTGCTGTGGGCAGGTGGGCCCAGGCAGTCGGGGCTCTCCGAGCGCTCAGATGGCTGTGCCGCCTCACCCCAGTCCCATTCCTCCCGTGGTCCAAGGATGCAGAGACATGAGCTGCCAGCGATCTCTGGGGCGTGGCCAAGCAGCACCGTCCACGGCCGGGCGCGCGAGCACCAGCGGAGGTGGCCAGGCTAAGGAGGCTAAGGGTGGCGTGCGCGCAGCACGGAGCGCTCTGTGCCACGAGGGGGGCGGGACCTGGCCACTGGGCTGGCGCCCACACGGCGGAGCAGGGGGCGGACGCTCAGGGCAGCCGGCCAGAGGCAAGG